AAGGAACCATTTCTCTCCCTCTCAGCCTTACCCTCTCTGATGTTTTACATGTTCCGAAATTTCCCATTAATTTGTTCTCTATTAGTAGTATTACTAATTCCTTAAACTGCTTAGTGACCTTTTTCCCTTCTTACTATGTGATCCAGGATTTGGCCTCGGGGAGAACGATTGGTAGAGGATGTATGGTTGATGGACTTTACATGCTGGAGAATAAGGTTGGTCTTCAAGTCACAGAGTCTAAGAGACAGTCTTGTAAGAGTCAAGTTTATTTATGGCATTGTCGTCTTGGTCATTTATCTTTTGAGTCTTTGAAAGTAGTGTTGCAGATTGTTTAAGTCAGTGTCCGTTTCAGATTTCTCTTGTCAAACTTGTCAATTGAGTAAACAATGTAGAACTCATTTTCTTTCAAAAAATAATAAATCTGAATTTCCTTTTCACATTGTTCATTATGATGGGTGGGGCCCTGTTACTTTACCATCTGAGAGTGGCTACAAGTATTTTATTATCATTATCGATAATTATTCTAGATATACATGGGTATATCCCATGCAGACCAGGGATGAAGTACAAAAAATTATCCAAGATTTTCAACGGATGGTCTTCACCCAATTTCAAACTAAAATCCAAATTTTTCAGTCAGATAATGCCAAAGAGTATTTTCATAGTGATCTCGCGGAATTTTTTGCTTAACGTGGTTCACTTCACCGTAGCTTTTGTGCCTGAACACCACAACAAAATGGTGTTGCTGAAAGAAAGAACCGGTACCTCCTTGAAGTGGCCCGGGGTTTACTACTCCAAATGAATGTCCCAAAACGCTTTTGGCTTGAGGTTGTCCTTTGTGCTACCTACCTCATCAACCGTATAAACTCTCGTTGGTTAGAGTGCAAAGCCCCACATCAACTTCTCTTTCCTAAGGCCCCCCTTCTTCTCATTCCTCCTCGTGTGTTTGGTTGTTGTTGCTTTGTCCAAAATTTGTCACCCACTCGTGGAAAATTGGATCCTCATGCTATTCCTTGCATATTGTTAGTGGTGTTAGTGAAGGGGTATTTCAGTCTTTGTACTTGTTGAGAATGCTGATGTGTACTGTTATGTTAGTTCGAGTGCCTCTTACTTAAAGAAGGGCACTCAAGTCTTTTCCAATAAGTCAATAATATAATAATAGGTCTGGCCGAATCAAGGGACTAAC